GATGCTTTTGCATGTTTGCAGGAGGCACAGGGTGACTGGTTCGCCTTTCTAAAAGGTTTCTGAGCTTTTAATCAAAAATTAGTTTACAACAATTACTGAAAGAAAAAGTAAATTGGTTTTGTTCAGGCTTAGTGCTTTTTTTTAAACTGCAGAGAACTGAGATAGATCTCCTCAGGCGCATAAGCTGATAGCTTCTTCTTATCTTGTTTATATGCCAAAGCTGTTTACTGAGAACCAATTACATAGTTGCTAACAAGCAGAAGGCCTTTGTCATTGATAACTAGTCACTAGTCCACTTCAACTACTTGCTGCCAGCTGAGACTTTATTTGTACTCAGCACTTGGCTTCAGTATGCAAATCCATTACTTAAACCAGCAGCTGTGTAAACATTACTTGTAGTGAGTGTTAGTTTATTTGCTTTTAAAACTTCAGCAAGCCTTCAACAGTCTTTTTAAAACAATCCTTTTCCCTTTTACTGACAATTAAAGATAACTGAAAAGACGGTCTTTACAATATTTTCCCCGATTTTTGCGCATTGAAGGTTTTGCTTATTAAAATGTACTGAAGAGTACATTTGAAGCATAGTTGCTGCTAAAAAACATTAACTGGAAACAGCAACAACATACTGGCATTGGAATTTCCTTTGGCTCAGTATAAGTGTATCATCAATACAAATGTACATATGGCACAAAGATAGGTAGACGGATAGGTAATGTTGAGGAGGCAGGGTGGCTGCAATAGTTAGTCTAGGACAATGGTCAAAGAAGTGGCAGATGATGAGGTTACGTATTATGGTAAGAAGAATAGAGGCATAGACTATTCCCTAAATGGGGAAAGGCTTTGGAAATCTGAAGCACAAGGGACTTGGGAATCCTAGTTCAGGATTCTCTTGAGGTTACGATGGATGTTCACTTGGCAGTTAGGAAGGCAAATGTAATGTTAGCATTTGTTTCAATAGGGCTGGAAAATAAGAGCAGACATGTATTTGCTAAGGCTGTACAAGGCTCTGGTCAGACCTCATTTGGAATATTGAGCAATTTTGAGCCTTTATCTAAGAAAGGATGTGCTAGCCTTGGAGGGGGTCCAAAGCAGGTTTACAAGAATGATCCCAGGGATGAAGAGCTTGTCACATGAGTGGTTGAAGACTGGGACTGCACTCGAGGCCTGAATAGAATGAATGCGGAGAAGATGTTTCTACTATTAGGAGAGACACAGCCTCAGAAGGAAGGCACGACCCTTTAGAAATGAGATGAGAAGGAATTTCTTCAGCCAAAGGGTTGTGAATCTGTGGAACTCATTGCTGCAGAAGGCTATGGAAGCCAAGGCTGTTAGTCTGTTTAAGACAGAGGTTGCTAGGTTGTTGATTAGTTGATTAGTAAACATTTTATACAGAGAAGGTAGGACAATGGGATTGAGTAACATGATCAAATGGCGGAGAAAACTTGACGGGCTAAATGGCCCATCCTAGTGTGGTACTGAACCATACTAATAAAGGAAGGCCTAATTTTGAAATAGCAAGAACTGCAGATGCTGGAGTCAGAGACAACATGTTATGGAGCTGGAGGAACACACAGGTCAGCCAGCCTTGATGCTGCCTGGCCTGCTGTGTTCCTCCACGGCATAATTTTAGTCTGCTTTACTAAACTCGTTGCAAGTAGGAGTGCTACAGTTAGACTCTGTTTCCTTAGGCTGTTGAGCATAAAGATTTTTCCAACAATTGTCACTTCACGTCAATGTCCAATGGTGTATATGTGTACACAGACAAATGAGGGAAGGATTGGTACCATTCTGAGTAGCCAGAAGACCTTTCTCTTTCTCTTCTCACCTCACCAACTAATTCAATTTAAAAACTAATCTGTTTAAGGCACAAGTACTCAAGATGTAATCCCTTCCTCTAAGCTACAGATTGTGCTGTAGGACTCTACGACACTGAGACAGGCCCTTCAGCCCAAACTGGCTTGTGTTGACCAAAATGTTCATCCATGCTAACCCCATTTCCCTGTACTTGACCCATATCCTTCTAAACCTTTACTATCCATGTATTCATCCAAATGCCTTTCAAATATTGTTAATGTACCCACTGTAACCACTTCTGCTGGCAGTTCATTCCATATACGTACCACCCTCTGTGTTTAAAAAAAAAATAATTTCCCTGAGGTTCCCATGTATTCTTTCCCTTCTTACCTTAAACTGATGCCCTCCAGTCCTCAATTTCCCAACCTTGGGAAAAAGACTGAGTGCATTCACTCAATCCATGCCTCTCATGATCGTATACACTACAATAAGATCTCCCCTCAGTCTCCTACGCTGTAAAGAAAAAGGTGCAACCTTGTCCAACCTTTCCCAATAACTCACTGTAACTTGAATCCTGGCAACATCTTTGTAAATTTCTCTGCACTCCTTCCAATTTAACAATATCCTTTCGATAGCAAGGTGACCAAAACTGAATATAATAATCCAAGTGCAACCTCACCAACATCCTGTACAACTGCAGCATAACTTTCCAACCTCTATACTCAATGCCCTGACTGATGAAGGCCAGTGAACCAAAAGCCTCCTTCATTGCCCTGTCTACCTGTGACTCCACTTTCAAAGAACTGTGCACCTGAACTCCAAGGTCTCTCTCCTTAAGGTCCTACCATTCACCATGAAACTCCCAGCTGGATTTGACTTTCCAAAATGCAACACCTCACACTTGTCTTTATTAAACTTCATTTGCCATTTCTCCGCCTACTTTCCCAACTGATCAAGATCCTGCTGCAATTTCTGATAACCTTTCTCACTGTTCACCTATTTTAGTGTCATCCGCAACCTTACTAAACAGGCCTTGTACATTCTCATTCAAATCATAGATAACAAACAGCAGGGGCCCAGCAACAACCCCTGAGGCACATCACACAAGCACCTCCAGTACGACGAGTATTCTTCCAGTATTACTCTCTGCTTCCTCCCATCAAGCCAATAGAGTATCCAGTTTGCCAGTGCTCCCTGGATTCCATGCTATCTAACCTTCTAGCGAAACCTACCATGTGGAACCTTATCAAAGGCTTTACTCAAATCCATAAAGACTACGTCTACCATCCTGCCCTCATCAACCTTCGTAGTCACTTCCTCAAAGAACTGTAACAGATTTGGGAGACATGATGTCCCATGCACGCAGCTATGCTGACTACTAATCAAACCCTGTCTTTCCAAATGTATGTATATCTTATCCCTCAGAATCTTCTCAGGCAACTTACCTATCACAGATGTCAGGCTTACTGGTCTAGAGTTCCCAGGTTTTTCTTTGCAGCCCTTCTTGAGTAAGGGCACACCACTCACTACCCTCCAGTCTTCCGGGACCTCACCCAAAGCTAACCATGATGCAAATATATCAGCCAAGGCCCCTGCGATTTCTTCTCTAGCCTCTTGCAGGGTTCGCGGATATATCTGGTCAGGACCAGGAGATTTATCCACTTTTATACATTCTAATACTTCCAACACCGTCTTTATTGTGATATGGGCTGATCCCAAGATATTGCCACGAAGTTCCCCAATTCCCAAGTCTTCAGTTCTTTTTCCGCAGTAAACACAGAGGACCTCGCCCATCTCCTGCAGTTCCACACATACACGTCTGCTTTGGTCCTTGAGGGCTTCTATTCTCTTTTTCCTTTAAAATACAAAGAATCTCTTTGGATTCACCCTGATCTTCTCCTCCAAAGCTATCCCGTGTCCCCTTTTTGCCCTCCTGATTTCCTCCTTCAGTAAACTCCTGTACCCTCTATATACTTCCAGGGATTCCCTTGATCCCAGCTGCCTCTAGCTGAGCCATGTCTCTTCCTTTTTTCTGGTCAAAGCCTCAATATCTCTTGTCATCCAGGGTTCCCTTCTCCTACCAATTTTGCCCTTCACCCTCACAGGAACATATAGACCTTGAACTCCTGGCTATCACACTTTTAAGGGCTTCCCACTTGCTGGAGGTCCCTTTCCCTGCAAACAAACTACTCGAATCAACCCCTGCAAGCTCCTGTCTAATTCCATCAAAATTCACCTTGCTCCAATTTAGGACTTGAACCTGTGGACCAGTTTTGTCCCTCTCCATAACTACTTTAAAATTAATAGAACTATGGTCACTGGTCACCTCAGTCACCTGTCCTGCCCTATTTCCCAAGAGCAGGTTGAGTTTTGCCCCTCTCCGAGCAGGACCCTCTATGCTGCTTGAGGAAACTTTCCTGAGCACATTTAACAAACTCCACCCCATCTAAATCCTCAACACTATGGCTGTCCCAGTCTATGTTAGGAAAATTAAAATCCCCCAATATGACAACCCTATTGCTCCTGCAAGTCTCCCCATTTGTTCCTCTAATTCCCGTTGACTGTTTGGGGACCTATAGTACAACCCCAATAATGTCACCATTCCCTTTTGATGTCTTAGCTCCACCCATAATGCCTGACTGGGTGATCCCTCAGTTATTTCATCTCTGACTACTGCTGTGATACTCCCCTTCATCAAAAATACAACTCCCTTCTTTCCTCCATTTCTGTCCTGCCTAAAGCACCGTACCCTGGCACATTAAGCTGCCAGTTCTGTCCCTCCCTTAACCATGTTTCTGTAATGGCTATAATATCCCAGTCCCATGTATCCACGCCCTGAGTTAGATGGCCTTACCTGTCAGCCCTCTTGCATTGAAATAGATGCAATTTAATCCAACAGGAATTCCTCACTCCCTGTCATGTTCCAGCCTGACCTGTCTCTTCAGCTTGCTGTTTCTGATGACTGTATCTCCTTCCAGCCTTGCACTTGCCTCCCTGCTGTTGAGGATCCCAGCCCCTGCCAATCTAGTTTAAACTCTCCCTGGTAGCACTCACAAATCTGCCTGCCAGGATATTGGTCCCCCTCCCGACTGAGATGACAAATCTGATTGTTGGGAGCTTGTACTACCTCTCACATCTTCAATATGTCATAGGGTAGCGGAAGAAATGAGGATAAACTTAAAGATTAACCAGTTTTTATTTTGCAGGCATACAAAACAATCAAATCAAACTTTCTGCACCTGAGGGCTGTCCATCTAAACTCTACAAACTGATGCAACATTGCTGGGCAGCAAGCCCCAAGGACCGCCCATCTTTCAGTGAGATTGCTAACATACTGGGTGAAATTCCTGCTGACAGCAAAGTCTGATGGCAATTAATGACTGTTACCAAAATCATGCACTGTGTTCAACAAGAAGATATCAACGTCACATCGAGGGCTTGTCTGCTTGCTACGTCTCCTAATGTTTATTGTAACTTTTTTGCTTTTATTATTTCATCCAAGGAATCAAATATTCTAGTGACTATTTTCTATCAAAAATTCTAGTGACCTTTTGATTAATTTCTAAAGAGTGCAGTTCTCAAGGCCTTTTATCCATTACTGTTATTGTGCATGTTTTTATGCCATGGAAGATTTTTTTCTCTCAAGTGCACAAGTTGGGATACTTGCCTCCATCCCATTGGAAAGGCTTTGTTAGGTGGCAAGTGACAGTACAGATTGCTGAGCATGTTGATGAAGAGCAATAAATTATGGTCACTTCACCATCCCAGCCTCCCCATCCCCCAGCTGCTCATGTGGAAAATAGTACTTGCTTCTCGTGCATCACTGCGTAGAAGGAATTTGCTTCATCAAACTGTTCATGTCAAAAAGTAAAAGATCAAGCACAATCAATCTCTGCAATATAATCATGTTGAAAGAGAATAATATGTACAGAGAAGCTGCAGGCACTTTGAAAGGACCACAGCCTGTTGCTGGATGGTACATGATCTCAGGATGCCTCCACGCCTGGAGCTTGTACATACTGTAGAAAATCACAGTACTAACATTAACAACATTACTTGATATAGAAGAAGCTGGAGAAACCCGTCTATTTATTCAAGAGTTTCTCAATTACTTGTCTTTCCAAATGGTACTGTTTATTTGCCTCCTTAAAAGAAAAGTTTATTTTATGTATGTTAACCTTTAAACATATCTTTACAAGCAAAAACTATAACTAATGCCATTGGTTAAACTTGTGTTGCGTATAGGCAAGTCTGTATTGAACCAAGTGCCTGGTGTATGAAGGAATTGTTATCAGTTTTCAATACTGTAATGGAATGCAAGATTCTTTTTATAATTCTTTTAAGAAACTTTTTTTTTTATATAAAGCTTTTCAGTTTTTTTTAAGTGCGGGGGAAAAATACCTTGGCTAAAATGTTAGTTTTCTAATTTGCGTAAAAGTTAGACATTTAGTTCATATTTGACTTGTATGGTTGGTTTTATATCAGTAATTTCTACATGCTGCTGTCAATAAAATTCTCACTTTTTTAGGTATTTATTTTATGTGTATCAATAGATATCTATGATTTAATTCTTGCATAAGTCACAATAAGGAGACAAATGAGGTGAGGAGGATAGGTATGACCTTGTGTAATATCAGTGTGTCTCTGGATAAGTGCTTGTCATGGCTATGTGCAGTGTGGGTCAGAAGAGAAACTGGACACAGCATTACGATATTTGCATCAAAAACTTGTGTTTACATAACATCATTCATGACTGCATTATATCCCAAAGTGCCTGGCAGCCATTTTAATACTTCAAGAGTAGTCACTATTGTAATAAAGAAAACGTGAGCAGCCAGTTTGAGCACAGCAAGCTTCTACAAGCTGCAACATGATAATCTGTTGTAGAGATGTTTATCAGTTAGACCATGGAAGAGAAGCTGAATGTAGTCCAGTGTGATATGTCACTGGGCATATCCGTCTGTCATAGAGAAGATGGTCTTGTCCAAAAGGAAGAAATAAGACAAAAAGCATTGCATCTTTTAACAAACACAGATTTGTCACAACATGCTTTACAGATGTGCTTTTGAAGTGTAGTTACTGGAAGAAACATGACTGCCAATTTCCTCCATCGTACAGCAATCTGAGAATCACCTGATGTTTATATGATGAATATTAGCCACGATACTATCTGCTCATCTGCAGTAAAATGCAAAATATCATCTGCATCCTCCTAAAGGGCAAATGGAACCTCCGTTTAATTTCTTAGCTTGAAGGCAACACCTGTGACAGTTAAAAGCTCCTTTCAGAAATTGGGAGGAGTGTACAGCAAGTCAGTATGACTATGAAGTAGACTGGGAAGAGAGAATCTACATGAGAAGAACAAGCAACAGGAGATAAAAACTTGCAGAAGATAGTCGGTTAAACTGTTTTTAGTTGTCAGAGCAAAAGTGTGATGCCACAGGAAAACAGGTTGGTGATTGGTGAGTATTTATTCCCTGTCTCTTGATTAGCCAGCTGGTTTAAATCTGGAGACAGTATTAAAGCTGAAGAGTATAGTTAGAAAACTCACTTCTAAAGTATTTAACATCCTATTTAATTAAACAGAATAGAGATGACTGAGCAAGTGACGTGTTGCAGCTGTAGTATTTGGATGTGCTGGTAGATTTTTTTGATTTAACTGATTTTTCTAATCAACCTGTTCAGATATGTTATTAATTACACACCTCTGCCGCAGTTCTGAGGAAGGGTCATCGGACCTGAAACCTTAACTCTGATTTCTCTTCACATATGTTGCCAGACCTGCTGAACTTTTCCAGCAATTCTGTGTTTGTGCTGAGGTTTAGGATCTCTCTTCTGGGCTGGAGTGGGAGGGGAAGGAGCCAATTGTCATGGTCCAATTACGTACCAATGATATAAGTAGAACTAAGAATAAGGTTTTGCAGAGGAATTAAGAATGGCTTGGGTCTAAATTAAAAAGCAGAATTACACCAGTAATGATCTCAGCATTACTACCTGAGTCAAGTGGCAGTTAGTGTAGGATGAAGATATTAGGTAAATTATGTGGCTGAAACGTTGGTGTGGGAGAAATGGTTCTGATTCATGGGATACTGGCACCGATACTGGAGGAATTGAGAGCTGTTCCATTGAGACAAGCTTGATTTGGAATTTGAACAATACTAGAACAAATGTTCTGGTGAGTCTTAAAATTAGTGTTATAGCTAGGGCTTTTAACCAGTTAGGGTGGGGGAAGGGTTCAGTAGTAGAGCTGCAGGTTAGTGAAGAGGTGAACAATAATCAAGGTGTGACATGAAGGGGCAGAAAATATAAGCAGAAGAGTGCAGCAGAAATTGAAGTAATAATGGTAAAATATCAAAGCTTAAAAGTCTTCTTTATCTTTTTCATTTTTTGTTGTAAAGAGATAGATGAGTTTTCAGAAATAAAGATAAATGAGTCTCTCAGCTCTGCAGCACAGAAAAAGGCCCTTTGACTCATTGCCTTGTATATCTAGGCAAGTGCACATCAACATGCTACTAAAATGTTATGAGGGTTTCTTCCTTTACCACCCTTACAGGCAGTGAGTTTCATCCTGTGGGTTTAAAAAGTGTTCTTCACATCACTAAACCTTTTGTCCTTTCCCTTATTTCAATGCCCTCTAGACATTGATCCCTTTATCAAGTGGAAAGATTTCTTCCAGTCCACCCTCTATATGCCCCTCATAATTTTATATATGCAGGTAAGCAAGTGATGAGGAAAGCTAATGGCATGCTGGCCTTCATAGCGAGAGTATTTGAATATCGGATTAAGGATGCCTTGCTGCAGTTAACCAGGGCCTTGGTGAGGCCACACCTTGAGTATTGTGTGGAGTTTTTTGTTCTCCTCGTCTGAGGAAGGACATTCTTGCTTTTGAGGAAGTCCAGCGAAGGTTCACCAGATTGATTCCCTGGATGGCAGGACTGACAAACGAGGAAAGACAGGATCGACTGGGCTTGTGCTCGCTGGAATTTAGAAGAACAAGCGGGGGGATCTCAGAAAAATGTAAAATCCTGATGGGACTGGACAGGCGAGATGTGGGAAGAATGTTCTCGACGTTGGGGAAGTCCAGAACTAGGGGTCACAGTCTAAAAATAAGGGGTAAGCCATTCAGGACTGAGATGAGGAAGAATTTCTTCACTGAGTTGTGAACCTGTGGAATTCTCTACCAGAGAAAGCTGTTGGGGCCAGTTCATTAGATTTATTCAAGAGGGAGCTGGACGTGGCCCTTACAGCTAAAGGAATCAAGGGGTATGGAAAGAAAGCGGAAATGGGATATTGAGATTGCATAAAGACCAAAAGAACTGCAGATGCTGTAAATAAGAAACAAACATCCGGTGACCCATCCTCAGAACCACCAGTTCACTGGACCCGAAATATTAACTCTGATTTCTCTTCACAGATGCTGCCAGACTTGCTGAACTTATCTGGCTACTGAGATTGCACGATCATATTGAATGGTGGTGTAGGTTTGAAGGGCTGAATGGCCTACTCCACCTATTTTCTATGTTTGCTCTGACTCCTCATTTAAATTAAGGCTGTGGTCCTTAATGGGCCCAACTCTCTCCCTTGTTATCCTTTTACCCTTAATGTACCTGTAAAACAACTTGGGATTTTCCTTTCTTTTACCTAGCAGTATTCTTTAAATCCTCTTTTAATCTCCTTTTGTAATTTCTCTCTTGCACATTCTAACAGCTCTAGGGCTGAACTGTTTTGAGCCCTCAGTGTTTGCCATAAGCCTCCCTTTTTCTCTTAATCCAATGCTGTATATCCCTTGATATCTATGGTTCACAGGATTTGATGGTCCCACTCTTTTTGTTCATTGGAAGATGTTGCCCCTGTACTCTTCATGTTACATTTTTGTATGCATCCCACTCCTCTAAGACAGATTTACCTGAAAGTATCTGCTCTAGACCACTGGCCTATTGACCACTATTGGAGTGTCACAGGGATTAGTCCTAGGGTCTCAATTATTTATTATCTACATTCATTTTGAGGAGGAGGCAGCATGACTAATAGATGATCAAAAAAGTAGGTGGAGAAAAGAAACTGAGATATCAAGAGCTTTTTTAAATATATAAAAAGGAAGAAAGAGGCCAAAGTGAACGTAGATCCCTTAGTAAATGGGACTGGAGAAATAATAATTGGGAACTAGAAAATGGCTGAGAAGTTGAATAATTACTTTGTATCCCCCAGTCTTTTTCACAATAGAAGACACTGATAGCATTCCAAAAATACTGAATCAGGGATCAAAGAGGGAGAGGAAGTAATACCATAATTATCACAAGGGAAAGTACCAGGGAAACTGAGTCTAAAAGTTAAGTTCCTTGGACCTGACAGGATGCATCCTAGGATATTAAACGAAGCGCCTTCAGAGACAGTGGATGCACTGATAGAAAGCTTTCAAGCAGCATTAGATTCTGAAAGAATGCTCGAGATTTAGAAAACTGCCAAAGTAACACCTGTATTCAAAAACAGAAGGAGAAAAAACACCGGTATCTATTGGTCAGTTGGCTTAACATCTGCTATTGGGAAGATGTTGGAGTCTATTATAAAGTATCTAATAGCACAGTATTTAGAAAAACCTAATTTGATCAAGCAGGGTCAGCATTGTTTCATGAAAGGAAAATCATGCGTGACAATTCTATTTTTTTTTTGTTTTCTTTGTTCATTAACAAGGTGAGGGCGTTGCTGGCTAGGCAGCATTTATTGCCCATCCCTAATTACCCAGAGGGCAGTTCAGAGTCAACCACATTGCTGTGGTTCTGGAGTCACACATAGGCCAGACCAGGTAAGGATGGCAGTTTCCTTCCCTAAAGGACATTAGTGAACCGGATGGGATTTTCTGACAATTGACAATGGATTCATGGTCATCATTAGATTCATAATTCCAAGTATTTTTATTGATTCAAATTCTGCCATGGTGGGATTTGAACCCAGGTCCCCAGAACATGATCTCATCTCTGGATTAACAGTCCAGCGATAATACCACTAGGCCATTGCCTCCCCTTGAATATTAGAATTCTTTGAAGAGGGACGAGCAAGGGATGTAATATATTTGGATTTCCAGAAACCCATTGATAAGGTACCACATATTAGGCCGTATATCAGTGTTAATATTAGCACAGATAGCGGATTGGTTGATTAATAGAAAACGGTTGGCATAAGGGGAAATTTTCAGTTTAGCAACCTGCAACAGGGATCAACTGATTACCAACTATTTACAATCAATATTAATGACATGGATGTGGGATGGAAAGTACCAAAGCAAAATTTGCAGATGACACTAACATAGATGGGTAAGTAAATAGCAATGAAGAAATAAATATATATATATGGATAGGTTTGGTGAATTGGCCAGAATTTAGCAGATGAAGGTTAACATGGATAAGTATGACGTTATTCATTTTGGTTGGAGGAATAAAAAAGCAACTTATCTAAATGGAGAGAAATTTCAGGGTGTTTTGATGCAGAGAGATTTGGGTGACCTCTTGCATGAATCACAGAAACCCAGTATGT